TTGTGCATCACCCCTTCTCACATACCTGATCCCCTTTGTGCATCACCCCTTCTCACATACCTGATCGACTTTGTGCATCACCCCTTCTCTCATACCTGACCCCTTTTGTGCATCACCTCTTCTCTCATACCTGACCCCTTTTGTGCATCACCCCATCTCACATACCTGATCCCCTGAGTATCATCCATTCTTCTTCCATACCTGATCCCCTGTGTATCATCCACTGGTGGAACTACCAGGTCCTTTGTGGTTTCTTGCACTGGGACCCTGAAGTTTTCAGTTGCGCCTTTGGGCTGTACTGTTTACATATACTTTATAATCAGGTCAGCAAGGACAGCTCCTACATTTCTATCTTGATTCTACCTCTTCTGATATGCCCCGAGCCTCCTAGAACCCAGTAACTGGCACAGCTTGGAGTTTCCCTGTGCAGGCTGATATCTGGTTATCCAAATGTTGATAATAAACTTCGATTCAACTGCAGCAAAATACATCCCCTAAAAGGCTCTGGAATAAATCATTGCTGCGTGGAACCTTGGAGAGATAACTCCACATTAGCAGATTATTACAAGCATTCTGTCATTCCGCAGTCTCTGTCACTTTCAGCAAATTGCTGCCTCATCGCTCTCACTTATTCGGCAGTAATGGCTCTTCCTGATTTCTGTCAGGGAAGATATTGATGGCTTATGATGTGATGTCCCTGCTGGCACTAATGCAAAGTTGTGAACGGTGGGCACAGAAATTAGAGCCAATGTTGGCCGCCATCCAGCAGACGGACTCTGTGCTCGTGTCCGTGTATTAGCTTTAAAGAAATGCAGCATCAAGATATCATTTGTGACACATTAGGCTACAGATGACTATAATGGGTAGTTTTACAGCTGAACACCTGGCACTTTCACTTAAATTATATGAATTAATTGTCACAGGGGATATAAATCTATTTTGTATGTATGAGATGCTTTTGCAAGCCAAGATATTGCTGTGTAAGAGTATAAAATATAACATAAAAAAACTGTGCTGCACATAACTTGAGCTGTGGCAGGGGCCAAACAGGCTCCACCCACTACAGGCTGTCAGCAGAAAGTTACAGGAGGGAGGGGGGGGGGGGGGGAGACCAGACCAGTTACCTTGCACACGGAGAGAGAGCAGCAGTGACCGGTCTTTATTACAGGAAGCTCCTTTTATAGAGACAAAGAAGCCACTGTATCAATCTTTATGCTGGACGACGGCCGTTCACACAGCATTACCACCAGTAGATGGTGCCAAAGAGCATAGAAATTTCCAAGAGCTCTTTTTACTGTAATCCGGTATCTGTATTACATGTATGCATTTAACTGTTTGCCTAAAGTTCAGCAAATGTCTCTGTGTTTATTGTTCTTTGCTACATCTTATGTGAGATTTGTTCTCATGTTAAAGAAGAATTCCAGGAAATGTAAAAATAAACCTTGCAGTGGGGCTATACCCCCGCACTGCAAGGGTTAACTGATCCTGGGACCCACTTGGCTACTGGACCAGTCTCAACAGCCTCTTCTTCCCCTGGCTCCTGTAGTCTAAGGACCTGTGACATCATCACTTCTAATGCTGGTCTGTTAAACGTGAGGATGCCATGGGACATGCCACAGCTGGAACGGAGAGGTTGAGAGCTGAGCGCTGACCGCAGCAGGACTGAGGATCAGGTGAGTGTATCTTCTTTATTTAACCCCTAGACCAAAACGAGCATCTAGCCCTTACAGAAATTCTAATTGTGTAAACTAGGGATGCACGATACTATTTTTTCAGAACAAGAACGAGTACCGATACTTTTCCTTAAGTACTCGCTGATACCAACTACCGATACCTGTTTTCTTAGTGTCATGTGACCATGGTTGTTCTGCCACTGACTCCAAGCTATAGAGGACTACAAATTCCAGCAGTACATTATACAACAATGCAGGATACCACCAGCTATAGAGCACTACAAAATCCCAGTGATAGATTACACAACAATGCAGAATACCACCAGTTGTAGAGGACTACAAATCCCAGCAATACATTATACAGCAATGCCGAATGGCAACTGGCTATAGAGCACTACAAATCCCAGCAATAATATGAAGCTAAATACTCTGGGGTGCCAGCCTTATGTCTCCAGTCGAGGATCCAAGGTGGCTAGATGGGGTCTCAAAAGGACTGTGCAGGGTCTCAGGAGGCCGTGCAGGGTCTATGGAGGGCTGTGCAGGTTCTATGGTGGGCAGTGCGTACTCTCAGGTGGCTATGCTGGGTTTATGGTGGGCTGTGTGGACTCTCAAGTGGCTATACAGGTTCTTTGGTGGGCTGTTCGGACTCTCAGGTGGACTATGTGGGGTTTATGGTGGGCTGTGCAGGCTCTCAGGTGGCTGTGCAGATTCTATGGTGGGCTGTGCGGACTCTCAGGGGACCTGTGCAGATTCTATGGTGGGCTGTGCTCACTCTCAGGTGAGCTATGCAGGTTCTATGGTAGGCTGTGCGGACTCTCAGGTGAGCTGTGCAGGTTCTATAGCGGGCTGTGCGGACTCTCAGGTGAGCTATGCAGGTTCTATGGTAGGCTGTGCGGACTCTCAGGTGAGCTGTGCAGGTTCTATAGCGTGCTGTGCGGACTCTCAGGTGAGCTGTGCAGTTTCTATAGCATGCTGTGCGGACTCTCAGGTGGCTGTGCAGGTTCTATGGTGGGCTGTGCGGACTCTCAGGTGAGGAGTTCTATAGCGGCTGTGCGGACTCTCAGGTGAGCTATGCAGGTTCTATGGTAGGGTGTGCGGACTCTCAGGGGAGCTGTGCAGGCTCTATGGTAGGCTTGGCAGACTCTCAGGGGAGCGGTGCAGGTTCTATAGCAGCTGTGCGGACTCTCAGGTGAGCTATGCAGGTTCTATGGTAGGCTGTGCGGACTCTCAGGTGAGCTGTGCAGGTTCTATGGTGGGCTGTGGGGACTCTCAGGGGAGCTGAGACTCTCAGGTGAGCTATGCAGGTTCTATGGTAGGGTGTGCGGACTCTCAGGGGAGCTGTGCAGGCTCTATGGTAGGCTTGGCAGACTCTCAGGGGAGCGGTGCAGGTTCTATAGCAGCTGTGCGGACTCTCAGGTGAGCTACGCAGGTTCTATGGTAGGCTGTGCGGACTCTCAGGTGAGCTGTGCAGGTTCTATGGTGGGCTGTGGGGACTCTCAGGGGAGCTGTGCAGGTTCTATGGTGGGCTGTGGGGACTCTCAGGTGAGCTATGGAGGTTCTATGGTAGGCTGTAAAGACTCTCAGGGGAGCTGTGCAGGTTCTATAGCGGCTGTGCGGACTCTCAGGTGAGCTATGCAGCTTCTATGGTAGGCTGTGCGGACTCTCAGGTGAGCTGTGCAGGTTCTATGGTGGGCTGTGGGGACTCTCAGGGGAGCGGTGCAGGTTCTATGGAGACAGGGAGAAGATAGGGGAACATGTTGGTAGTCCAGCCTCCCTTCTTACATAGTCGAGTGAGTGAATGTAGCCACTGGATACGCAGTCATTTTGGTGTCACCCCTCCAATGGTGTCACCCAGGTGCAGGCCGCACCCCCTACACCCCCTTGTGACACCACTGATACAATCAATGCTTACCTGAAAAAAATCCCTTTTATGTAGTGAGTGCTGCCTTCTGTCTGCCCATCACTTTCACCAACTTCCTGGATTCCCAGTGTGCTTTGTGTCTCTTTCCCTGCTGCTTGATGTGATGCAATCTCCATTTCTCAAGACTACATTGTTCAGATGATATGTTGTAGTTCAGAAGGCAGGCTCTATGTGAGTGATAACACATGGAAGTGACATTGTGTCAGTGCATTGATGAAGTGCATCCTATGATGAGCATCTTCAATAAGCAAGTTTACAGACTTCTAGATATGGATACTAGGAGTGGGATAGAACTTATAGAAATGTATTATTGAAATACTGATTTATTTGTATTTTTTGACCATAGATACCCTTTATGAAATACACATCAACCACAATGGTAGTAACGGTTATGTGAACTCCTTTTTCTTTATTTGACATGCTTTTTATTAAAGGCCAACCATGTTACAGTCACATTGAACAGTCCGTGTACAATCCTTCTTAGATTCATGAGAAATATGTAATGGGCCTACCTGAAACAACATATTCATTTTACATCCCATTAGGCAGACCTTTGCGTTACATAATTGCTGGTGGATCTAAAGGGATAGCGTTGTTGTAACATATACCGTAGACCTGCATTCGGTCGAACCTTCAAATCAACAAAAATCAGTTGTGCACTGGCCCAAGGGAGGGGGGGTCATATGCCCGGTCACTCCCTCCCCTTCTCTGATAGGCTGCATGCCTGAATTAGGGTTTTGCATGAATATTAAGAGGGAACTCCACATTTTTTTAATTTGGTGCTGGGTGCCCTTTTAATATACATATTAGAAAGGCGGGTGGATTGGGCATAATTTTTTTTTTTTTTTTCTATAACATTTTGTAAAATAAAAAAATCTATTTTTTTTTTTTTTTTAAAATAGGCGTCCCAGTAACTGAAAGCAGCTACACACGGCTCATCCCTAGTTAGATGGACAAGGGTTCAATTATGGTTTTCTTATTTCTGATAAGCCCAAATATTGGCTGCTGCTCTATAAATTCTGATTCATTTGTAAAGCCCCAAAGTACCAGCATTTTATTTTACACTTACATGTAGAAACGGAAATAATATCGGTGATAAATACACCAAGATACAGACTGCAGTGATTCCAAGTTCCAGACTGCCTGGAAAACAAGAAAAGTGTGTATATGAATATGATAAAAACAATAACAATGTTAAGTAGAACAAAGTTCAGAAAGTAAATCATCATCATCAGCGGACTGGGCGATGGACTCTGCAGCAGAGAAATGTGTACAGTCCAAGGACAGGAGATCTGTCATCAGATTACGGAACAGAATCCTCTCAGCCAATCACAGAGTTCAGACGGGAACTCAGTGTGTGCTAGTATCCAATCAGCGGTAAGCTTCCTCTGACTGTGTAAAGGGGAGGGGTGTAGAACGAGGAAGTGTTCTGTATACAGATCATCCATCCAGGAGCCAAACCCACATATACATTGTATACACTGCAGGTACTACTGAGCTCTACATGGGGGGTGTCATGTATAGGGGGCACTGAGCTGTGCAGAGGGGGCTGTGTCATTATAGGGGGGCACTGAGCTGTACAGAGGGGACTGTGTCATGTATAGAGGGCACTGAGCTGTGCAGAGGGGACTGTGTCATGTATAGAGGACTCTGAGCTGTGCAGAGGGGGCTGTGTCATGTATAGAGAGCACTGAGCTGTGCAGAGGGGGCTGTGTCATTATAGGGGGGCACTGAGCTGTACAGAGGGGACTGTGTCATTTATAGGGGGGCACTGAGCTGTACAGAGGGGACTGTGTCATTTATAGGGGGGCACTGAGCTGTACAGAGGGGACTGTGTCATTTATAGGGGGGCACTGAGCTGTACAGAGGGGACTGTGTCATTTATAGGGGGGCACTGAGCTGTACAGAGGGGACTGTGTCATTTATAGGGGGGCACTGAGCTGTACAGAGGGGACTGTGTCATTTATAGGGGGGCACTGAGCTGTACAGAGGGGACTGTGTCATTTATAGGGGGGCACTGAGCTGTACAGAGGGGACTGTGTCATTTATAGGGGGGCACTGAGCTGTACAGAGGGGACTGTGTCATTTATAGGGGGGCACTGAGCTGTACAGAGGGGACTGTGTCATTTATAGGGGGGCACTGAGCTGTACAGAGGGGACTGTGTCATTTATAGGGGGGCACTGAGCTGTACAGAGGGGACTGTGTCATTTATAGGGGGGCACTGAGCTGTACAGAGGGGACTGTGTCATTTATAGGGGGGCACTGAGCTGTACAGAGGGGACTGTGTCATTTATAGGGGGGCACTGAGCTGTACAGAGGGGACTGTGTCATTTATAGGGGGGCACTGAGCTGTACAGAGGGGACTGTGTCATTTATAGGGGGGCACTGAGCTGTACAGAGGGGACTGTGTCATTTATAGGGGGGCACTGAGCTGTACAGAGGGGACTGTGTCATTTATAGGGGGGCACTGAGCTGTACAGAGGGGACTGTGTCATTTATAGGGGGGCACTGAGCTGTACAGAGGGGACTGTGTCATTTATAGGGGGGCACTGAGCTGTACAGAGGGGACTGTGTCATTTATAGGGGGGCACTGAGCTGTACAGAGGGGACTGTGTCATTTATAGGGGGGCACTGAGCTGTACAGAGGGGACTGTGTCATTTATAGGGGGGCACTGAGCTGTACAGAGGGGACTGTGTCATTTATAGGGGGGCACTGAGCTGTACAGAGGGGACTGTGTCATTTATAGGGGGGCACTGAGCTGTACAGAGGGGACTGTGTCATTTATAGGGGGGCACTGAGCTGTACAGAGGGGACTGTGTCATTTATAGGGGGGCACTGAGCTGTACAGAGGGGACTGTGTCATTTATAGGGGGGCACTGAGCTGTACAGAGGGGACTGTGTCATTTATAGGGGGGCACTGAGCTGTACAGAGGGGACTGTGTCATTTATAGGGGGGCACTGAGCTGTACAGAGGGGACTGTGTCATTTATAGGGGGGCACTGAGCTGTACAGAGGGGACTGTGTCATTTATAGGGGGGCACTGAGCTGTACAGAGGGGACTGTGTCATTTATAGGGGGGCACTGAGCTGTACAGAGGGGACTGTGTCATTTATAGGGGGGCACTGAGCTGTACAGAGGGGACTGTGTCATTTATAGGGGGGCACTGAGCTGTACAGAGGGGACTGTGTCATTTATAGGGGGGCACTGAGCTGTACAGAGGGGACTGTGTCATTTATAGGGGGGCACTGAGCTGTACAGAGGGGACTGTGTCATTTATAGGGGGGCACTGAGCTGTACAGAGGGGACTGTGTCATTTATAGGGGGGCACTGAGCTGTACAGAGGGGACTGTGTCATTTATAGGGGGGCACTGAGCTGTACAGAGGGGACTGTGTCATGTAAAGAGGGCACTGAGCTGTGCAGAGGGGACTGTGTCATGTATAGAGGACTCTGAGCTGTGCAGAGGGGGCTGTGTCATGTATAGGGGGCACTGAGCTGTGCAGAGGGGGCTGTGTCATGTAGAGAGGGCACTGAGCTGTGCAGTGGGGGCTGTGGCATGTATAGAGGGCACTGAGCTGTGCAGAGGGGACTGTGTCATGTATAGGGGGCACTGAGCTGTGCAGAGGGGACTGTCATGTATAGGGGGCACTGAGCACTGTGTTGTAAAAATAAAACCTGTGTAAAAAAATAGATATAAAATGCTATCATTATAATAATTTTGTCACACATATGGTCCATGGCCACGTTATGATAGGTGAATAAAGATACCGAACAACACTGCAAGTTCTTTTTTTAAATTTGTGGGACTGTACTTTCAAAGATGCTGCGACACAAACAAGTAATATGTGCTGATAGCTGCAGTATATCTGCATGAGAAAAGAAAAGCTGATTGAGAATGGGTTCCAGAGAATGGGTTCCCGAGATCTAAGTGAAAATCCTGGAGCTCTGGGTGAAATCCTTCGTGTTCTCAGCTTTTCCCTGGTTCCGTATAGGTGAATACTAAACTTGGAATAGTAAACTTGTAGCGTACAGAGGCTGCCATGGTAACCACAAGCCATCCAGAAACCTCAAAGCGAGAAAAGTATGCTAAAATTAGCATTTCCTGTTGCCCATAGCAGCTAATCAGCGTTCCCCCATCATTTCTTCAGCTTTGCTAGCACACACACACACATATATATATATATATAAGCATTTTCAGTTGACAGCCTTTCAACTGTTGCCCTTAGAAACTGATTGGTTTTTATGGCCAGCAGCGCAATTTTTACTTTGGTTTTATTTGTTGATTATTTGCAGACATTAGCCCTAGTCTCCAGGGTCTAGAGCTGGCAGGGAATGTGGTTGGGCTCTGACCCTTGTGTGTCCCAGTGTCATTGAAGCTTAGATTAGCCAAGTTTAGTTTAATACTATAATTGCATCAGTATTACATTATCAGCATTACAGTATTAAACAGAGGTACACTGCCATCTACAGCCTGCACTGGCCCCTGCAAGCTGAAAACATTGTAAACGTTTTTTTCTAAGAAGGTCTATTCACAAAGCTAGCGAAGGATCAGCTGTAGCTCCGGCTGATCCTTCGGCTAGCTTCGGCCGCTGGAGCCCTTCGGTTCAGTAGAACGGAAGGGCTGCTGTACGGTCTATTCACTATGCTTATGCCTCAGATCGATGCTTATGCTTCAGGTCGATTGAGCCAAAGTGAAACCCGAAGCGGGCCGAAAGCCTTGCAACTGACAACTGGGCAGAGCCGTGCTCTCACGGCTGGCTCTGCCCAGTTGCAATGATAGATCAGCGTCTCCAGGTTACCTGGGGATGTTGAACTGTCATTAAACAATGACAACTTGGCGGAGCCGGCCAGTTGTTGGTTTCGGGAACTCCATCAGCGTCTCCAGGTTACCTGGGGATGTTGAACTGTCATTAAACAATGACAACTTGGCGGAGCCGGCCAGTTGTTATTCATTGGCCGGGACCTGCTAGAAAACTCTAGCAGGTCCCGGCTAATAGGAAACAGTTGGGTGGAGTTAGCTGTCACCGCTAGCTCCGCCCAATAGTTTTTTTATTTTTTCAAAAACCGAGCAGAATAGTCGAGCCGGCATTCGGCTATTCACTCACTGCCGTGAATTCGCCGAGCGGCAGCGAGTAGCCTGACGGAAGTTCGGCTCAGCCGATCCAGATGTTGGATCGGCTGAGTCGAACTCCTTCTGCTTGAACCGAAGCAAGAAGATGATGTACGGCTGAAATCAGCTGTACAAGCCTGAAGTGAATAGTCGAACAGCTCGGCTCACTTCAGGTTGGTTATTCACTCGGCTGCCTTCGTCAGCTTTGTGCATAACCCTCTAAATGAAGCCTTCAGCTTGCCTGTGACCATTATGTCATAGCTGACAGTGATCATTTAGTTGTGGCTCACTCTGATTGGTTTCGGGAACCAAAGCCCTTTAAAATCTGCCAGCTTAGCTTAAGGCAGTGGTAGGCAAACTCCAGCCCTTCAGCTGTGGTGAATCTACAAATCCTAATATCTGCCTCTTGGAGTGCCTGTGGCTGTCAGTCTTGCAGTGCCTAATGGGATTTGTAGTTGCACCACAGCTGTAGGGTTTGCCTACCCCTAGGTTAAGTTATCTCTCACGGGTCCAGGTAGCCTAGCCCTAGAACATTGATAAGTTGGCAGGTAAAAAGGCAGTTTTGGCAGGTAAAATAAATATTTACAGTATTTCATCCATGTATTGAGCTGTTTGCCTAGAGTTCAGCTTTTATCATACTCTAGAGCTGACATCGCTCCATATAGCAACACTGGAACTGCAAGAAATAAAAGCCCCTGAACTAACAGATAGTGGTGACACCTGCTCCAAGCTTGCCAGCAGTAATGTCCAGTTTATTATTTTTATGCATCACATTTATTTACTTTATACTGTTGCAGGTTTTCATCTCATTTTCTTTTAACAAAAATCCATAGGTAAAGGAACAGCATACAAGTATCCTATCTATCTATCTATCTATCTATCTCTCCTCTCACCTAGTGTCTTTTTTCATGCAAAAAGGAAAATAAGACACTGTCTTATTTTCGGGGAAACACGGTAGATAGATATATATACACTGTGTTTCCCCGAAAATAAGACAGTCTTATATATTTTTTGGCTCAAAAAAACATGCTAGGTCTTGTTGTTTTTTTTTTTAATGTACAACAATACACACTTATTCAAAAAATATGGTGATCAGGGCAATCAGGGGTGGCTTACCTTTCCAAGAGCAAATTGCTAACTAATCGCTGGCCAGAAAGGGCGAAGCGCACTTTCACTATTGATTCCTCACGGGCGGGAGCGCATTTGGTATCACTCCGCCTGTGACAGGAGACGGCGCTGTAGAGGAAGCATCGGCTTATGCGGCTCTGCTCCCTCCGGTGCCGCCTCGCTTCCTCTAGCACTGGCTTCGTTGGCACCGCTGATTCTCTCCTGCCTCTCCCGCAGCTCTTCAGGATCCCCCTTATGCCACCAGTGGCC